GCCCTGCCAGAGAGCAGCAAAAGGCAGCAGAGGCCTGTGGACTCTTGACTTTCACCGACCAGCGTGTAAGGGGTGGGCCGCCAAGCCAGGAACACCAGTGGCCCAAGCCGCAGTCACGAGGTGGGGGGCCGTCAGCAGGGGCCAACCGCAGACCGAAGAGTAGCCCCCGCCGCGGAACCAGCAATGTGCCCCTCTCTGAAGAGTCTGGAAGCCTCTTCGTCCTGCCAAGCCAAGTATTGAGCAGGGACCGGCCGTCCCGGCATTCCTGTAGTCATACCACGCAATGTTCTCAGAACCCCAAAATGTTCTAGTAACCAAAACAACATTCTTAGAACATGAACCCGATGTGCTAAAACAAAACAGTCCTAGCTAGACATGTTCTAAGAACATCTCGTGGGAACCACAACAAGTTCTTAGAATATTGTTTGGTGGGGCTATAGGCGAGCCGGCACGCTTCGCCACTGCTTGACTGTACGCGTGATCTATGGGCAGCCAGCAAGGGCGGAGATGGGATGGGATCAGATGCGAGGCAGTGCCAACACCTACCACCACCTCCTCCCCCTCCTCCTCCCTGCTTGCTGTCGGACTTCGACTTCGCCGTGTCGGCTGTTGCTGCTGCTCCTCCTCGTCGTCCCTGCTGCTCCTCCCGCTTGGGGGGCCTCCGGAGCCGTCTTGACTGGCTCTTGGGCCGTATTGTAGGCTCTCTTGGTCTTGGAGGCCGCCTGGGCCGCCTTGGGTCGGTTGACGAAACATTTTGGGCCGCCTTGGGCGACTGGGGGGCCGGCAGCGGGAAGACTAGAGACAGTGTGAAACTCACATGTATGACCTTTGCAGTTCTTCCCCTCCATTTCGGCGCTCTTGGGCTGTCCAGGGACCCTCTGCAGGCCAGTGCGATCTGTCTCGGGGCCCCTGGACTCGCGACCTGTCTTTGGGCTGTCTTGGGCCAGAGCGGCGTCGCCCCCCGGGCGGAGCCAAGGCCAAGGGATCCCCGCGGCCCAGGACAAGGCAGTGGACCCTTCTGGCGTGCAGGATGCCCGGTATTTTGGAACAGATGACCGCGGGCTTCAGCTTCGCCTCCCACATCTCGCTCAGCAGCGCAAGAGCCCGCTGCCACTGTTCGCCCTTCTCGCACGCGCTGATCCCAGCGTTGTAGCTGATGACGTTGGGCTCCAGCTTCGCCTCCCACATCTCGTTGAGCAGCGCCAGAGCCCGCTGCCACTGCCCGCCCTTCTCGCACGCGCTGATCCCAGCGCTGTAGCTGACTAGGGCTGACCCGTGGACTCCGTCCACGACATCTGGCCGAGAGCATTCTTGGGGGAGCGGCGAGGATGCTGCTGAAAAGCTGCCCACATGGCGGTCAACCCCTCGGCTTCGAGGGGGACTCTGGAAGCCCTCTTGGGCTCTCGTCGGTGCCGTCCGGGCCGTCTCGGAACCGTCTTAGGCCGTCTTGGGCGCCCCTTGGGCGATCTGGGGGCCGTCTTGGACCGTCTTGGGCGGCTCTTGGGGCTGTCTTCTTTGGGGTTGTCTTCGGAGGCTCCTGGCCTGTAATTTTCTTGCTCGGGGCCCTGTGGGGAAGCTTCTGGGGAGGTCCCATGGAGAACCTTGGAGATCTGTCGGGCCGGCTTGGGCCAATGTTGCGCCAATCTCGAGCGTGTGTGGCACATCTGGGGGCCTGTTGAGCCAACTTGGAGCCCTCTGGGCCTGTCTTGGGGCTCTCTTTGGGTCCCTTTTCGGCCGTCTGGGAGGCGTCTTGGGAACGCCTTGGGCGGTCTTGATTCGCCTGGAAGCCGAGAAGGCGAGCACCGCAAAAACCCGGCAAAAAGCAACGAAAGTCAATGCTTTGTCCTGCTTGGGGCCCTCTGGGGAAGCTTCCCGGGAGGTCTCTCGGAGCACCTTTGAGAGCTCTCGGTGCTTGGGCCAATCTTGGACCAATCTTGAGCGTTTGGGGCCCATCTGGGGGCATGTTGAACCGACTTGGAGGCCCTCTGGGCCCGTCTTGGGGCTCTCTTGGGGGCCTCTTAGTCTCGGAGGCGTCTGGGGAACGTCTGAGGCCGTCGTGGATCGTGTGGAAGCCGAAAAGGCGAGCACGGCAAGAACCCAGCCAAAAAACATGAAAATCAATGTTTTTTCCTGCTCGGGGCCCTCTGGGAAAGCTTCCCAGGAGGTCTCACGGAACATCTTAGAGACCTGTCGGGCCGGCTTGGGCCTCTTGGGGCTCTCTTGGCGTGTGTTCGAGCCTGTCTGGGCGGCCTGGGGCGGCCCGGGGCCAGCCTCTGGGGGCCTGTTGAACCAAATTTTGTTCATTCTTGTTTTCCAGAGAAATGCTGAGGCGAAGACAACATGTCGCGTGGGCAGTTTGTCCCACACAACCCGCAGAGAACGCAATTATTAAATAGGCCTTGGGCTGGCGAGGGCAGAAGCGATGGCTACAGAGCGAGAAAAGCGGACATCTGAAATGAACAATACCGTGCGCTACTATGTTCATTCTTGTTTTCCAGAGAAATGCTGAGGCGAAAACAACATGTCGCGTGGGCAGTTTGTCCCACACAACCCATCCTCATGAATAAAACCCCGTCTTCAAGCAATGTGCTGGATTACCGCATCAAATTCCACAGGCGGCTAGCCCGCAGGGACACGTAGCTGTGAGAAAGTTCTCGAGCGAGCACGAAGCACAGGTGCGGGGGGTAGGACGCTTTAAGATGAGTAAGGAAGCCGGCCTTGGACTTACCAGACAGAACAAGGTGCGGCTTGCCCGAAAACGTGCATACACCCCTACCTTTACAGTGCCACGTGTACAGCTCTGGCGGAACAGATATATTGGCGAGAGCCATACGAGTGCGAGCACGAAAAGGGCGGCCGGCGCCGCAATAATCAAAGACAACAGTCTGGACATTAGCGCGCGGGTGGAAACGCTGGCGGCTGGGGAGCAGCCACAGCAGACTAGATGCAGGATTTTCCTCTCCAGCTGGCAGCTGGCGTCTCAGGGCGATGCCTAGCAGGAGTGCGATTCTGTCAGCCAGCTTGTTTGAGGTGACGACATCGTGATAGTCGGCGCCCTCCAGGCCTGGCAGGCCTCGAAGGTGCTCCTTCGTCCGCAAGCGACGAGGCATCACACTGTGAGGCGGAGCCCTGCGAGCCTGTGACCATTTTCACAAGGGCTGCCTGAAAACATGCCCCAGATGATACCAGACTCAAGCCAGCCTCGAAGAGTGCGGGAGACATCATCTTGCAGCAGGTCGCACTCAGGGCCAAGGAGCACGTCAATTGAAACAACAGCATGGCCTCTCTTCTTCAGCTCTGCGGCGAGGCCGCCTGAGCCTGAGAAGAGGTCGAGGAACGCCCGCCGCTCGCCAAGGCGGCCGGCGCGGAGGGCAGCACGTAGGCGCTGTCGAAGAGCCGCGGGGCGGCTGCCGCCCAGATCTCGCAGCTTTTCCTCTGGGCGCTGCTGAGGTTCCGCATGGCCAGCGCCAGCCGCCCGGCCTTGTCGTACCTCCGAACTGACGATGCCGCTCTCCACATCCCTCGCCTCTGCACCTCCAGCAGTGAGCGGCAACCTGCGGCGCGGTCGTGTGTCGCGCCGCCGTGCCTCAGGCAGTGCGGCGAGAAGCCCAAACCTTCGAGCTTGTGGTACTGACAGGCAGCATGGAAGTCGGCCAGGAGCTGCGGATACGAGATCTGGAACAGCAGCTCGTCCTCGTGTCGAAGCCGCTGAAGCCGCGCGACAGCGCGCCCAATCCAGTGATGTCGAGGAAGGTCGAACGCAACTGTGGAGTCGCACTCGCCCGTCTTGGAGCTGGTAGCGAGCTCCTCTGGATGCAGGATCAGGAGGGGGTGCTGCAGCACCCCGACCTCTTTGCATCTGCCTGGCAGAAGCTGCTTGGCCAGCAAGGTCGCGGCCTCCGACGGGCGCAGGTAGCGCTCGAAGGCCACCAAGATGCACAGGCCCGAGTCCGGCTTCCCCATCGAGGCCAGCACGGCCGCCATCGCGAGCGCGAGCGCCCGCGGCAGCGGCGGGCGAGAGCGTCCCGGCTGGAGCCGCGCCCAGCCTGACAGCGACGCATGCGCCGCGGGAAAGAGGCGCCGAACGGGCCCCCCCAGCGCGGGCTCGCCCCAAGCCAAGGCACAGAGGGTGCGCGAGAACGCCTCCCGGCCCATGCCGCGGTCGAAGGCCCACTCGGAGTAGTCCACCAGCGTCTCGCCCCATTGCGCGGGAAACCAGCTCGGCAGCGCCAGCAGCCGTAGCCAACCCAAGAGCATGGTCAGCGCCCGCAGGTACGAGAGCTCGGTGGCGTGTCGTACCCGACGAGCCGCCAGTCGCGAGAGCCGCGGACACAGCCGCGCCCGCCGCGCACAGATCTCTGCGGGCCTGTCGCTCAGCGGCGCCTGGGATGTCCAGCCCGGGCGGGAGCCCGAAGGGCCTGGCGGCCCGTGCCCGCCGCGCCAGTCGGAGGCGCGCCGGGTGGTCGGCGCCGGCCTGGGCTCCGCTGCATCGCGGGCGCGCTTGCCGTAGGCGGGGTTGACCCAGTAGGCCGTCGCTGGCGTGGTTGTGCTCCCTCGAGCCGATGATGACTCCGGACAGAGGCCCAGCTTGATGTGTGCCTTTCTCCTCCAGGCCCGGGGGCGTGCTGCACTGTCCGACAACGCGGTGCTTCCCCGCGCCTGGCATGAACCTGCGAGAGGGAGCGTCTCCAGGGTTGAGCTCTGATGGGATCCACCTGAACCTGAGCTGCATCCCGGAGGCGATTGAGATAGCGCAGATCTCCCGACAGACGACGTTGAGTGCAAAGTGTGCAGCTCTGCTTTTTTTCACACGCGCAAACCACCCCGAGGTTGTCACCCAGGATGAGGTGCCGATGTCCATGCAGCTGCGAATTGCGAGCAAGGCGCCGCACAGCCCAGCGCGCCCCCTCAGCCTCCAGGACGTGGATGGCCGCGGCACGCGGCCAGCGACGGGCGGCCGCGACCGCCCAAGGGTCAGCCAAGAGCCGCGCTGCCGGCACCTCCTCAAAGTGGGTCAAGGTGCCCTCCGCGGTGACGTCGGCAGCCGAGGCGTGCAGGAGCTGCTGTTCGACCAGCGTGTCCCTGGGGGCGTAATCGGCTGTCAGGACTCCTCTGAAGCGACTGCGCTCCGAGAGGCTGCCAACTCGCCGAACCTCACTGATGGGCCACGGCTGCTCCACGACGCCGAACCCCCATGGAGAGGCGTCCGTGGCGGTGACACGTTCGCACCAGGGGCGACTCAGCGAAACGGTCACGCAGGGAAGCAGCGCTCTGAACCACGAGAGCTCCCGCCTCACCGACGACCAGAGAGGCTGCCGCTTGTCCCGCGAGCGCCTGCAGAACTCATAGATCGCATGGAAGAGCGAGAGCATGTGCCGCTGCAGCATGACGGCCGCGGTGATGTGGCCCATCAGCATCTCGAGCTCGCGCCCCGTGACGAGACGTCCAGGCGCCAGTGCAAAATCGAGGCTGAACTTCAGCCGCCAAAACTTGCTGTGCGAAAGGCGCCAGGTGGCCGAGGGCTTGTGCAGCACGAAGCCGAGCAGGGTGTGCAGGTCCCCATCATCGCGGTCGAAGGAAGCCTGAATCCCCCGCGCACCCAGAGCAACCAGCACGCGCTCCACCTCCAGAGCGGGGTCGCCGCTGCCTGACGTGAAAACTGCGACGTTGTCGCTGTGCAGCATCTTGGCGGTGGCGCACTGAGCCCCGAGCGCCGGCGTGGGCACCTTGTCAGCGATCCAGGGCGCCTCCGGGCTGATGGTGCTCAGGACGTGGGCATGGGCCTCCTGAGTGAGGTGCACGGCCCACGACCAGCCCATGGGGACCACTCTGGCAACGAAGTGGATCATCTCCGAGGGGTCTGAGACCCCCAGCTGCTGACGGGCTGCTGGATCCAAGAAGCGTGCTTGGACCGCTGGCAAACCGAAGAAGGCACGTGCCCACGACGGCAGCTCGTACTGGTAGAAGCAGCACTCGACGTCGCCAGAGGCAACAGCAATCCCTCCAGCGGCGTCAACCTCCAAGTTCGCCAGGGCCTCCCCGCTCGCGAGCAGCGTGCAGGGCGGGTCCTGGAAATGGGCATTGGACCTTCGGGTGTCGAAGATCAGCCGCCGCGACGAGTCCTTCTTTGGGACGAAAAAGATGCCAGCGCGCTCGATGATGCTGCCCTCGGCCGCGCGCTCGATGACGCCCGCGGAGAGCAGCTCGGAGAGGCACTCGCCAAACTGGTAGACATGCCGCTGCAACACTGGGTCCATGGCACAGACCCTGGGAGCCTCACCCAAAGCAAAATTGCGAGCCTCAGGCTCTCGTAACATCTGCGACGAATCAGACAAGAGAGACTGCAGGTGCGGCGGCAGCACGTCAGCAAGCTGTACCCGCCCCGCCGCAGCCCGCGGGAGCGCCATGGCCCCCTTCCTGTAGGTTGTCGAAGCACTTTCGGCCATGACGTCTGCATAGCCGTTCCGCGAAGCCTGGAGCGTCTGCCACGCCCCCAGGGGAGTCACGTCGGATGGCGGCGGCCCCACCCTGCCGTAGAGCTGCGCGAGGCGCCGCACGGCGGCGACCTGGCAGGCCGCTGGGGCCCCCGCGGGAGCATCCCCCCCGCGGCCGCCGAGGTCGTTCAGCGCGGCGATGCCCTCGCGCAGCCAGACCTCCTGATGCCGGCGCTGCCGCCCGCGCCGACCGCCGCCATGCGGCAGAAGGCGGGCCGCCGCCCCATGCAGCAGCTCGTCGAGCGTCGCGCCCAGCGGGAGGGGCAGGACGTCGCGCGCCATGCCAGCGTCCGAGACTCCTTGCGCCGAGGCCGCCATCACCACCGCAGTGGCGGCCCTCCCCTGAGAAAGCGCCCGCTGCCCGGGGGGCTGCAGCGGCCGCGCGCAAGCCGAAAAACAGGCGGCGGGCTAGGCCCGCCCGCGGCCGCGGCCACCACGGCCCCGGCCGCCAGGGCCGCCGCCGCCTGCGCCGCCGCCGCCACCACCTTGATCGCCACCTCCTGGTGCGGTGTCGGCGCCGCTGCTGCTCACACTGCGTGCCATGCGGCGCTCCTCTCTGCCCTTGCGCCTCTCCTTCAGGATGGCGCTCTCCTCCTGCATCCTCTCTGCCACGTGCTTCTCCAAGGACGGCGACGCGAGAGCATGGCCCTTGGAGCGGGTGCCGCCAAGGAAGATCCTGCGCTCGCCCAGCCAGCCGTCCGAGTCTGCCGTGGCCCCCGCAGTGCCTGAGACCTCGACCTGGCGCAGGGCCTCGGAGTACACCTCCTCCCACAGCTGGAAGCGCCTGGCCGCCAGCTCGAACGCCTCGCAGCCGGGGAGGTTGAGCTGGTCGGCCGTGGAGGCCGTCTCGATCAGCTCGCACAGGAACAAATGCTCGTCGACCCCGGGGTCGGCCGCAGCCAACCCCAGGATCTGTCGCCACCAGTAGTGCCGCTGGACGGGCCCGCTACCCTGCTCCAGATGTGCCCGAAGCAGCCAGCCGATGGTAGCGGGCCCCTGCACGCGCCACTCCTGAGTGCTGAGCACCTCGCGCTGCTCGGCCACCACCTCCGCGAAGGCGCGCCGCCGCCGGCCCGTGCCGCTCCTCCGGTACCTCAGGATGCGCTCGTCCAGGACCTCATCCTGCGCGTCCCGCGGAGAGAGCGGCACCTCGTCGGAGAGGGCCCCCACTCGTCCCAGCGCGATGACCCCCTCCGGGAACGAGGCCATGGCGCGATCGTCCAGGGCGTAGACGGTGGCGAACGTCACGTCCACTGGCGAGCCCCGCGCGAAGCCCAGCCGCGACTCCAGGGCGACCCAGCCGTCGTCCAGCCGCACCGGTGGCAGGGGCCCTCCGCCGGCGCCCGCGAGAGGCGGGGGGGCGTGGGCCGGCGGTGGCCGAGGCGGCTCCGACGCGCCGGCGGCAAGGCCGACCTCGGAGCCACGCGGCGTGTCCGTGCCACCGTCCGCCGCCGCAGGGAGTGCATGCTGCTTCCCTCGGAGCCGGCGGATGGGCGCTGGCCCAGGCGGCACCGACTCACGAAGGGCCTCGCGGCGCTCCGACTCCGCCAGCCGAGCCCCCTCGCCCATGAGAGAGAGACTAGGCCCTGTTCGTCAAGGTCGAAGCGGTACAGCATCTTCTTGCGCAGCTGCGGCGGTGCTCCACCACGCGGCCCGGCGCGGTGGATCTCCACATGATCCTCGTCAGCAAAGTCCTCGACGTACACGTCGCCGTCAGGCGTCGCCACTACCCACCGTGAGCCTTCCACGTGGGCGCACAGAAGCCTCTCGTGGTACAACCTCTCCTCCAGGCTGTACAGGCAGTACAGCTTGTCCCCCATGCGGGCCGTCCTCAGGAGGTCTGGAAGCCCTCGCGGGACCATGGCCATGGAGCCCGCCGGCGAGATAGCCGATGATGAACGCGGCGCACACCGCGAGGCACAAGACCGAGGCGACCTCCCAGAAGACCGAGGGACACTCCAACGGGGCGCTCCGAAGCTGCTCAGGGCCGCACCTGTCTAGTTGGCGCTGCAGGACCTGCAGCAGCTCTCTGTCGTGCTCCCCTGTGAAGGTGCACGTGCAGTGGCAATCCCTGCGGAGAGATGTCCAGAGGTTGGCTGCGTACAAGCCAGTCGCAGCCCAATCGCGGACTACTGGGGCGAGTCCGAGCGCGAGCCCTGCCATAACAAGCGAAGCTTCGAGCAGAAGCGATGGCTACAGAGCGAGAAAAGCGGACATCTGAAATGAACAATACCATGCACTACTAGGAGGCCCTGTGGGCCTGTCTTGGGGCTCTTTTGGGGGCCTCTTCGGCCATCTTGGAGGCGTCTTGGGAACGTTTTGGGCCGTCGTGGATCGTATGGAAGCCGACACGGCGAGCACGGCAAAAACACTGCAGAAAAACATGACAATCAATGTTTTTCCCTGTTCGGGGCTCTCTGGGGAAGCTTCCTGGGAGGTCTCACGGAGCACCTTGGAGACCTGTCGGGCCGGCTTGGGCCTCTTGGGGCTCTCTTGGCGTGTGTTCGAGCCTGTCTGGGTGGCCCGGGGCGGCCCCGGGTGAGCCGACTTGGCGGCCCTGTGGGCCCGTCTTGCAGCCGTCTTGGGCCGCTCTTCGGGCCATCTTGGCGCCTCTGGGGCCGTCCTGGGGCCGCCTTGGACCGTCTTGGGGCCCTCTTGGACCGTCTTGGGGTCCTCTTGGGGACCTCTTCGACCGTCTTGGAGCGGTATTGGATGCCTCTGGGGGGGTGTCGGAGCGTCGGGAAGCCGAAAAAGCGAGGAAGCAAAAAACATCGGAAAAAAAGCAAATGAAAATCAACGACTTTGGCCTCTCGGGGCTCTCTTGGGAGGCCTCTTGGGAGGCCTATTGGGCCGTCTTGGGGAGCTCTTGGGCCGTCTTGGGCCAATATTGGGCGTCTTGGCCGGCTCATTGCCGGATCATTGCGCGTCTCGGGGCCCTCTTGGGCCGCCTACGGGGCATCTTGAGCGGCTCGGAGCCGTCTTGGAGCGGCTCGGAGCCGTCTTTGGGCCGTCGGGCGGCCTCTTGGGCCGCTCTTCGGCGGACCTGGACCTCGCTGGGGGTCCTCTGGGGCCGTTTCCGGCCATTTGGTCCTTTTTCCTTCTGGCACGCGGTTCCTCCGGCCATATAGTATAGACTAAGGCGAACCCGTGGACTTCGTCCACGACCAGCAGGTCCCCCTGGCGCGCCTCCACGTTGGGCCCCCGCCCAGGACAAAGTCACCCCGAAGCCTTCGGTGACTTTTTCCAAGCGCTTTTCCGAAATTGGAAGGCGGGCGCTTCCTCCTCTTCGTCCGCCTTCCGCTCCACATCCGCCTGGACAGCCTTCGGAGCGTCACAGACGGCTATGGTGGGTCTGCGGTTTGCCTCTCGCCGCTTGTCTGCTCTCCCTGATTTGAACAATTTTGAAAGCACCTGGGGCCTAGAAAAAAGTCACCTGGATGACTCTGGTGACATTTTCCCGGTTGCCTTTTCGAAGCAGTTTTGGGTGCCTCTCGGAGCCGACTGGGGCCGTCTTGGGCCCCTGTGGGGCCGTCCTGGGACCGTCTAAAGGACATATTTTTGCCATATTTGGCTGCTCTTGGGGCTGTCTTGGTTGCTTCTTGAGCTGTCATGGGCGCCACAAGAGCTGTCATGGGCGCCATCGTGGAGGCCTGCCAGGGCGATCTTGGGGCGATCTTGGGGGCCTGTATTGTCGTCTGGGACGCTTTACAAGCGAAAAACACGGGAAGTACGAACATACACGTTTTCCTTTGGGTTTGGCTTGATATTTGCTTGTGCGGGCTCTGTCGGGTGGAAACTATCTTGAGCGTCTCCGAGTGCTCTGGGACCGTCTCGGAGGCCTTCCTGAATCGTCCTGGGACGTCTTGGGGCTTTGTTGGAGGCCTCCCGGGCGTCTCGGAGCTGCTGGGCCTCGCCGGGGCCACCGGGGCGCCGAAGAAGCGTATCGGACGCCCGTCCTCTTCGCATGCACTAGTCCCTGCAATGTAATAGAGACTAGGCCGAACCCGTGGACTTCGTCCACGTCGTCTAGCGTGTCAAGAGCGGGTCTTACAAAAGCGTCCTCCCGAAAAGGAGAATGCAGGGCCCCCAGAGTGTTGATAACTGTCGTCCGCCTCGCTTCTCTAAGAGCAGGTTGGAAACCTCTTGGGCTCTCGTGGGGGCCGCTCGGAGGTAACCTCGGGCCTCGTATGGGGTCTTGAGGGTGACCCGGGGCAGTCTTGGGCGCCTCATGGGCAATCTTGGGCAGTTTGGGGCCGTCTTGGGCGCCTTTCGGGCTTTTGTCGGGCCGTCTTGGACGGCTCTTGGGCCATCTTGGGCGCCTCCTGAGCCATCTTGGAGCCCTCCTGGGTGGTTGTCGGGCCTTTTTCCGGCGGCCCGTCTGGACTGCCTCTGGGGCCGTCTTGGGGCCATGTTGGAGCTCTTGGGCTCTTGGGGCCTGTTTCGGGGCTCCTGGGGGCTCTCTCGCGCCGTCTTGGGTCTCTCTTGGGCCGTCTTGGGCTCCCCCGGGAGCCGTCTCGGAGCACGCACTCCTGAGCCGTCTTGGGGCCCCTGCTGGAGCCTCTTGAGCCTTGGAGCAGCAGTGGGGGGCCCATATGGGGCCGCCTTGAGCCGCTCTTGGCTCGAAATCGCGAGAACCTGAGAATCAGGCAACGGCCACAGAAGCATCAATGATTTCTCACCGCCGCGAGCCGCCTGGACGGCCTCCTGGGCCGTCTCGGGGCCATGCTGGGGCTCGTGGACTGTCTCGGAGCTCTCTGTGAGCCCTCTTGGGCGGCTCTTGGGGCCTGTTCAGGCGCTCCCGGGGGGCTCTCTCGGGCCGCCCAGGGGCTCTCTTGGGCCGTCTTGGGCTCCTCCGGGAACCGCCTTGGGGCCGCCCTTGAGCCGTCTGGGGGCCCTTGCCAGGGCTCTTGGGCGGCCTTGGAGCCTTCGGGGGGGCCTCAAGAGCCTTCTTGGGCCGCTCTGTATAGTATGACTCCATTGGAGACACGGAAACTATCACGCTGAGCCTCTGGGGACAATCATTCGTAAGTGGGTACCATAGAAGCAAGCTGTGGGCGGTGAGTTGCACTCTTGGGCTGTCTGAGTCCCCTTTTGGCGGCATGCTGGGCCGTGTTCGAGCGGACGCCCGAGAAAGAAAAGAGACCGCCCAAATCTTTGAAAACCAATCAGAAATCAATGATGGTTGCCTCTCGGGGCCCTCTAGGGGGGCCTCTTGGAGCCACCTTGGAGCCCCCTTGGAGCCCTCTGGGGCCGTCTCGGGGCCCTCTTCGGCCGTCTGAATGCCATGTTGGCGACCTCAAGGACCGTCTGGAAGCGATTCGGGCCATCATGGTCCGTCTTGGGGCCATCTGAGGCTATCCTGAGCGTTTCCGAGCGCCCCCTGAAGCTATCTGGGTGCGCCCAGAGCTCGTACCCCCACTTGGTCGCCAGACCACTCTCGCACGCAATTGCGTGGGCGTTGTAGATGTGATGACGTCGGGCTCCAGCTTGGCCTCCCACATCTCGATCAGAAGCGCCAGGGCCCGCTGCCACTGCTCGCTCTTCTCGCATGCGCTGATCCCGGCGCTGTAGCTGACAGGTGTGAACCCGTGGAAAATTCACGGCCGGCAGGTCAACGCGTCGGCCCCGAACGCAGATGTCGCCGACGCCTGCGGGTTTGCTCCAGGGGTTGCTGCAGACTCTGTCCGGGGCTGGAGGCGGTCGTCGAGTGTCTTGGGTCTTGGGAAGGTCTGGGCTATCTCGGAGTGGCCCCTGGAGGATTCTTGTGGCATCGAATGCTTCCCGCATTCCAGTCTCGCTGCAGCCTCTTGCAGGAGGAGGCCGAGGGGGAGGAGGACACCTTGCTGCAGATGGGGGGAGTGCAGGCTCCCAGAAGAGGAAGACGAGATCAAATGAGAAAGGCCCACTCTTGGCAACTCCGTGGGAACTGTCGGAATCTCTTGGCAAGCGTCGGAGTTGTGTGGGCGACCCTGGGGCATCTCGGAGTGGTCCTGGGACCGCTCTTAGGAGCTCCGTGGGGACTATCGGAGTCTCTTGGGAGACCCTGGGGCATCACGGAGCGGTCTGGGGACTGCCTTGTGGGTCTGGAGCTTTCTTTGGGATCTTTGGGGTTCGACAGACAGCGAGAATGTGCCGTGGCTGGGGGCACTCTTCTTGGGAGTTCCTGGGGAACCATCGGAGTGTCTTGGGAGACTCTGGGGCATGTGGGAGTGGTCCTTGGAGGGTTCTTCGCATATTGGGGGGCTGCGGCAAGTGCGTCATCTGGGATCCGTTCGGCTCCTCTTCGAGCCCTTGTGGGGGTCTCCCTGGGGCCTCTAGGGACCCTCTAGGCCCAGTTTGGGGCTCTCTTGGGCTGTCCTGGGGGCCTCTTGGGCCTTCCTGGGGCCATGTTGGGAGTCTCGGGCCGTCTTGGAGCTCGCCTTGGTGCCTTGGGGGCCACAGGGAGCTCTGTGAGGCTGTCTTGGGCTTCCATTGGGCAATCTTCGGGCCCTCTGAGGCCGTCTTGGTGCACTTGCCGGGGCCTCCTAAATGTCTTGGGGCGATCTGGGGTGGCCCTGCAGCCGTCTGGGGCCGTCCTTAGCTCGAAATGGCGAGAACACGGAAAACCTTCGAACACTAGTCGAACATCCACGATTATGGCCTCAGAGGACGGTTGTCGGGGTCGGGCTGGGCCGTCTTCGGAAGCACCTGGCCCGTCGGCGGGCCGTCCTGTGCTGTCATGGAGCTCCGTTCGGGCTCTCTTGGGACGTCCTCGCGCCCTCCGGAACGTCTCGGAACAATTCTCGGGCTGCCCGAGGCCGTGTTGGAGGCACCTGGGGGCTCTCGGGAGCCGTCCGAGAGCGGCAGAGCGCTCCAGGCGGTCGGGGGCAGCTGGTGCACTGCGGGCGCATCTCGCACGCGCAACGACCAGAATTCTAGTGCAGATGACGTCGGGCTTCAGCTTTGTATCCCGCATCTCGCTGAGCAGCGCCAGAGCTCGCCGCCACTGCTCGCCCTTCCCGCACGCGGTGATCCCCGCGTTGTAGCTGACTAGGGCAGACCTGTGGACTCCGTCCACGACATCAGCTCGACGTGGCGAGGGGTCTCTGGGCAAGCGCGGCGTGCCTGTCGCCTCTCGTCCGCTCCCCCGCTCCTGGAGGGAATTCTGAAGCCACTGAAGGCTT